ATAATAATAATAATAATAATAATAATAATAAATGGGATTTATATAGCGCTTTTCTAGACCCAAAGACGCTTTACATTATGAGTCAGGTCGACAAACAAAACAAGATGTCCTCTGTCAGCTACTTTACTGTAAATCACAAATATACATACTTGTACTTCACCCTACGAGTTGAACTAGGCTCAGGCTCTGGTGTTGCTCTGCATTTAACTGTACTTAATGTTTTGTTTTTTTGAAATATAGTTTCCCTCTTCCTCCATCCTTACATTGTTCTTGCTCTGGGTGTTGTGGAACTCCTCCTGGTGTCGGTCTTTCAACATTTTCTCCACCACTCCGCTGCGCTTCCACACGTCAAACACAGTCTTTCCGTGCTGGTATCCCACCTCCTGCATTTCACAAATACACAGGTATCAGTGTGTATATTATGTATACATATTTCTATTACTCGGGATGTTGGGAAACAGTATTTCGATCTCTCTGTCTGTACACACAAACTGAACAAATAACAATAAAGTTGACTTTGACCGTCTCTACTGATGGCCAAAATCTATAAGACACGTCAGGATACTTTATGAAAACGTTATACGTGTTCTGTGTAAACTTACAGCAATCTCGTCAAACTTGCCAAACTCCAGAGTGCCGTATCTGTCGATCGGAGGTCTGATGTACTCGCAGTAGTCGCTGTTCTTTACAGACTCCAGCTGTCTCACGCAGCACACGTAGGCCAGGCGAGTCTGGATCTCTGACATGTTTAACACCTAAAACAGCAAGTGTGGAAAGGAGCATATGCATCTCTGAAAAACACGTACAATAATATCTTCATACTTATTCATAGGACTCATTTAGTTTAAAAACACAACCGCGCACAGCTTGTTGTGTCTTCATTTTTTAATCAATCCATTACCTTTACTTTCTCAGCTAGGGGGTTGAGGCGTTTCCATAGCAGCCACCAGCCTGAGAGTGAGTCTCCGTAATTAGTGAGGTTGGTTTCATTCCGGCTGCCCACGTCGATAGCTATCACCACTTTGGCCCCCATGAAGCGCGCCACATCAGCTGGGAGAAGAAAATAGGGTGGAGATTGAGAAATAATAAATCGTACACGGGTGTTAAAATAGAAGATACCTGATTCATCTTCAGGTATTTTTAAATATGCGCAAATAGCACAGCAGCACTGATATATGCTATTTGCTTGGCAGCGCAGTAAGGAGATAGTGTTATCGTTTGCAGATGTTTGAGATTTCCTTTTTGTGTTCTATGTGCAGGTTCAGTAACACACCTGGCAGGTTGTTGATGTAGCCTCCGTCCATCAGCAGGTGTCCATCTTTGGGGTCGCAGAGCGGAGGTAGATACCCAGACAGAGACATGCTGGCACGAACATACCGCCACAGAGAACCTCAAACAGAAAACAGAAAACGTTGTTATGCAAATGTATTAAATTGAAGGCAACCAACCTGAACTGAAAGAAAATGAGTCATCAGTGAGACTAATTAAAGGGTCAGTTCACCAATGAGGACAGTGGACATCTCAGAAGCAGATAAATGAGAAAGCAGAATCTGCCACCATGGCTGCGTTAGGATAAGAAAACTCTTTCTGTTATAACGGGTTTAATAAAAAAATTAAAAAAGTGCACCTACCATCAGTGTGTACTCTCATGGCGGAGGCAGTGATGTCAGTTGTAATATTGAAGTATGGGATCCGAAGGTCCTGAATACACAAAAGATCAGATAAACAAACGTTAACATGATCCGGTTGACTTGTGAATGTCTTAATCAGCTCAAACAACATGCGTGGTGATCTCTATGCCGCGTTTTATAGTTCCTTGTGAACTCGCCTCAATCTGTTTGCCCTTGAAGACATTGCTGACGCTTGAGTTGAAGGCAGCGCCGGTGAACATGGAGGTCACTGGGTACGTCAAGTCCAGAATCTTCTTGAATACCGATGTCATCCCCTTCAAAGAAAGAAAGAAAGGTCAAATGACTTCTGTCCAAAACAAGATGTCTCTGTAGTAAAAGGCTGAATTAATCCCTGAAATTCAAGTTGATGTAGAAAAATCTACAGAACTTGTATTCATTGTTGTTGTTGTTGTTGTTGTTCAACAGTTTTTCTTTGTATACATTATTTTCAATGACAATTAGAAACACCTCAATAAAAGGTAAATTCATTTCAGCAACATTTCAACAGCGCAAAGTGTCCTGTTCTGACTTTGCTAAGGACAAACGTTTTATTACAGCAGTGGTTACTTTAATTTGATACAGCGACACAGCCAGCTGCATCTGAAGAAAAAAGGTTTAGAACCAAGGACAGAACCACAGGAGGACGGGGAGGTGGGACACACTGCGGGAGGACCAATCACATGACATGCTCAGCCTGCAGACTGAGGAGGTGTCTCAAATCAGCCGTCAAGGATGTTCACGGGGTTAAAGACACAAAGATGACTTCATATTACAACTAAGTGTTTCACTTCAACAGTGTATGTAAAACTATACACATATTACTTTTAATGGTTAATCAGCAAAGTGTAGTTAATACAATAGAAAGTAGAAAAGAGGTCTTAGTTGCATTATAATTTAAATAGAATGACGAGAGAGAGAGAGAGAGAGAGAGTCACCTTCACAAGGACAGTCGCCACTATAAAATGTAAACTGCTTGAACATATTCCTCTTCTACCCGAGTAAAAGCCCTTTCAATCAGAAACTTTCACAAAACACAATCTTGTCTAATAAATAATCCACATTAAACATTTGTTTGTCACAGTTGTTGGCCTAATTCAAGGCTGCCATCTAACGGGACAAAACGTCTCCAGGCTCTGCAGTCAGCATATGTTGTGCAACAGATTACACATGATACATCAACAACAACAAGTTATTCCAAAAACAGTAGGAAGAGGTTTCCTGATGGAAAAAATGCTCAATGTCCGCTCAAATACATCCAGGGAGATTTGTTGGTCATCCTCTGTCTTCTAACATGTATTTAACGTCATAGTGGTATAACATTTTGAATGCCTTGTTGATAGAGCAGATCCAAATATCAATAGCTCTCACATGTGGATCCTAACATTTGGGTCCCCTATTATACTGTTTTTCATCAATATATTATAGTTCTCAGATATATACGAACATGTCTCTGAAGTGTTTGGCTCCAAACACCAAACAGATCATTGCAGCATCCCATAATCCCCTCTGTTTCAGCCCTGTTTCAAAAGTGCTGATTCTCTATCTGTCACTTTAGATGAAAATAAGGAGCCCCTCCCCACGCCCCTCTGAGAGAGATTTGGTTAGAAAGAACACTATGGTGCTCTAGGAGGAGATTCAGGTGATCAAGTGGGGGGGGGGGGGGAGGGGGGTTACCTTGGTTGGTGAATGGCTAATGGCTACACAAACCACAAAATCGTAATGACATCACAAAGTGGCCAAAATCTGATCAGCGCATTTTCAGACAGGTTTTTATATAAATGGATCAGGACAAAAAGAGAGAGAATCTTTTTTCCTGAAACTTCCAGAATCTCTTTACACAGAGGGGACACATGTTTATGTATAAAAGACACGGAAAAGTGGATTTTGCATAATAGGTGACCTTTAAAAGACTAGTGTCATGTTGCTCTGACTCTCACCATGGCCCACTCTCTGGCCCTCATCCTCATGCGGCTGTGGCTCTTGTCCTCAGCGTATATTGCCCCCATCAGGGAGCCTATAGAGGTGCCACCGATGAGGTCCACTGGGATGCCGGCTTCACAGAGAGCTCGCACTACCCCCACCTGGGAACAGCCCCTGAACAGGAGATAAACAACAGAGAGGAATGTAATTACTTATCCAAAAAAAGATGCAGGTGGGCTGAGAGATTAAACAAAAAGCTTTGTGATTAAAGGTCTTAGGCTCTGACTATAGAATCCATTAAACCCAGAAGAGTGTTTCAGATGTTATATATAAAAGTGAATGTCTTAGATTCAGTTGAAGACAGACAGGAGCGTTACCTGGCCCCTCCCCCTCCCAGGATGAGAGCAATAGAGTTTCCTGTGAGGACTCGAGCCAGGCGGGAGAAGTCTGAGTGGCGGTCTGCAGGCTTCTCAAACACACGTAGATACAGCTCCAACTGCAAAACAGAAACATCGAGATTACTTTAATACAAGTAGAGAGTGGGATGTTGAGAGGAATGAACTGGATGAGAGATAATAGATGTTGAATAAGATGAAGATTATAAAAAGGCCTACAGTAAATGCAAGATGGAAACAGCCACAGGGGAGAATTAAAGAGAAGGAAAAACAACTTTCTTAATTCTTACCAGTTTGGGCAGGCTCCTCTTAGAGAAGACCCTTCGGGGACAAAAGAGGTGGAGGTGTCTGGAGATCCAGCTCCGCATGTTGAGCCAGTCCACAGTTCCTTTGGGTGGGGGACCGTCCTCTCGGTGCAGCAGCACCAGCTGCTTCTGGGCCCGCACCGCACTTCCTTCCAACATGCGCTCCAGCTAAGAGGGAAGACATGGAGCACAGATGTTATTCTCCTCACTCTCTTCACGGTGGCTCCTATCGAGTGCTTGCACAGAATTTTGAGTGTTTCCAAGAAGAATACTGCAAACTGAAGCCTAGAGGTATTTCTGCAGGTATTGATTGCAATTTTTACATTTATTTTCATGACTATTTACAGGTTTTTCAGCGACAAACAAGGATCTATTTTAGACTCTTGTTTAGAAATGTATCTTTAAGAGATGCACTGTGATGTAGGGTTGCAGCTTAGGCCATCAAAACGGAATAGGAGATATTTGGGGAGACTAATTTATAAATTACATTTCCGTTCATTTCATTCACATTTTGTCAAGTAGAATTTTGCAGTTTCTTTGAAGAAGGCTAAATAGCCTGCGAGGAAGGTCAGATCTGTTCCTCAGTCAACACACCCTCTGCTAAAGGTTGTGTGTGTGTGTGTGTGTGTGTGTGTGTGTGTGTGTGTGTGTGTGTGTGTGTGTGTGTGTGTGTGTGTGTGTGTG